TTTATCGTGACCTTGGACCGGGAGAAACGAATTCAGGAGTGCACCTATCGGAACCCATTGGAACGGCCACCGTAGAAATCCATTAACAATAGGTAAAGGCAATTTCAATGCCTGGATTCATTGTGTGCTGGCTGGATGTTTGTAGAATACAATTTCTACGCTATATCAAGACTTTTGGCTGATATAATTTGGTCAACGTATCATAGTAGCCTACGTGGACGCTGGCTCATTGTTTTGTTCTCGTTATTCAACTAAGGTGAACTCGTAATAGTTTAAGCATACCTAGAGAGCATAACAGTTTCATTCTCTGATTATGTGTCATGTTTTATTAGGATTCCAAAATTAACCAGAACGGATAAGTTTATGTATTTTAAGTAATGAATCTCACATCGATCATGCGTCTTACATATATATTCAAAATTTGCATTGATCAAATTTGATAGATTGTATGGAAGTAACTGTTAGACTATTATCAATGTATTGAAAAAGAGTGGATATAACACGAAATATGAGTGTCGTATTACAGTCGTAGTGATGGTAGCAATAATATGATCATGTGAACCACTTAACATTATTTTAAAGTTTAGTCTTTTTCACGCTGTTATAATCTGGCAGTAACTTACTAAATAAAATTGCCAACCTTTTGATGGACTCTATGAAATTCTGTTTACTAACCCACTACTGACCACTAACACAGCTGGCAACTAGTGTGAAAACAAGAATCCCAAATGCTTCTTCCTTTCTACAACTGACGATGCCATAAAAAGAAATGGAAAATTATTTGGGTTTTCGAGGATCATCTATTCAGAGTAAAAGCTTAATAGTGAGTATTCAATATTTTGAGATGTTTAAAGAAAGTCAAAACGAAAATCATAATGAATTCATTTTTAAGTAATAAATAAAAGCATATTTGTGATACTATAATAGATAATACATTGGATTTCTGACATTACGTGAATTGATGTTAACCTCTCTATGGTGTATTCACGAAGCTGTCACTTTCTTTTACAAGTTAGTTCATACGGCAGAAAATAAAATAAATATACACATGATGCCGTGACAAAGACTACCAACAAGCAAGTCTAACTAAATTGTCAGTCATGTAGTTTAATCCCTAACTTTCAGCCGAAGCTTGTGTTGATATTGTCTAGAACAAGGAGAGCTTTACAGTTAAACTACACAATCTCCATACAGAAATTACCAAAGAAATTGAAGGCTGTATTATAGATGTGCGAGAACTGGTTAAATTAAGTTGACTTGCGATTGGGTGGTAGCATACATCCTATCAAAAAGATTTCTGTCTCGATATTGGAATGTCATAATACGTAAACGCGTTTCTGAAATAGAGGACTTTTCTATTGTGATATGGTAGGGGGGTTTAACTTTTATGTAGTCTTGGGTATTTACTGTGACCCACCTACTTTGGTTTATGCAACCGAGTGGTATCACTAAGCCCCACATTCAAGCATATGTTGAATGTAGTTTTGTCGCCCATGAAGATGAGAATCCCACTATTTTCTAAAGCCAGTCATATTGAAATTTCATAAGATTTATATCCTTATCTTATCATACATTTCAAATTTACCAATAGCAATCACTGTGGAGTCCACTACTTTTAACCCATAATATTATTTGTTTATACTTCATATGATATATATATATATATATATATATATATATATATATATATATATATGTAAATTACATATTTGTCACGAGCTAATACAAACCGATCGATTTTTTCGCGCTCGCTTTTTATCGTTTCGGCACGGTATTATAATAATTATGGATACAGAACGTCAGAGAGAAAGTGTTTGGAAACAAACATTTTGGTAAATATTATTTGTTTACGATTCATTTACTATATACATACATTCAAAAGATCAAGAAGTTTAGTCACATATGTACTTTTTTGAATTTTTTACAACCAGAAACCAGCCAAGTTATCAATGTGTTAATAAAAAAAGAATAAAACTCTATCTGGACCGAATGCACTGTAAATAGGAATATCACAAGTAAGGTATAATAAATAGAGAATAGAAAATAACATGATATTGAAAAGGAAATAAGTTAGTTCAAGAAAAATACATAGACAATTATAAATCAATTATAGTGCTAGATTTAGATGGCGATGTGTATTTTGCAGTAGATGTTACTATTGTTGTCTTATTAAACGAATCAGTGTTATTTAAAGAATTTTTTTGTAATATTTGTAAATTATTCTCCATTTGTATACCAGTAAAAAGTCCAACAGGTGGAAATGTTGGTAAAAATGTTGAAAAAATAGAAGTATTATTGGAAAATGATGAGTTATTTGTACCCTGTGAACAATCTCCATTGCTAAGATTTGTTAATATTTCGATTTTATCAGGTGATGAGGATTCCTGCAGTAAAATGAAATTTTAAAAAAAAAGGAGTGAAAAACTTCCACACATAAGTTTATCAACAAGGTATAAAGAGTATGAATCAAAAAAAAGGTATTTAAGAGATGAAGTAATTAAAAATTCTCATTTTAATTATTCTTAATAAATATATAGGTATGCACACTGTGTTAGAGTTTTTAAAATGACTCAAAATAATTGACTAGATGTATATTTATCTCTTAGACAATAGTTTTAAATTTGTAAATGTTAAAAAGTTGGTTTCTTATTGGCTTGCATACAGTATCTACGTGATATGCAATATAAAGCGTATGGAATGAATCCGAATAAAACTATTATTCTATCGACACTGAAAAAAAATAAGTAATTTGACCTTAAAATCCAGTTTTTAGTGTTGCGTTATCAATATACCAACTTACTAGTGGGTAAAATATATAACTTCAAAACTAAACTGTTAAATAATCCAATGTCTTATCAAATTAACGTGAAAATGTAGCCAACAACAATGTCCAAGTTAATTGTTTTCAGCAAACGACCAGAAAAAGACTCCCTAGTCTTTAACAACTTCTCAAATATTTTTTGAGTATGAGTGTAATTAATTCAATTTACTCTTTCTTTATGAAATAATAACTGTGATTGTATTTTGCTTGGTTGTTTTATAATAATTTGAAATTTCTAACAATGGCTACAGCCGTAAGACAACAACAGCATTACCGCTCCAGTTGAAGAGAGATATATAACTATAGATTATACTATAGTTGGATGATACGGTATTTCCGGAAAATAGCTTCTACATTCAGTAATGTTGTCCTCTTAGCATCAAAATTAACAGAAACTAGCCTTTCTTTAGCCTGATTGCATACCATCAACACATAAAAAAGTGCATGTTTGATAGCTTAAGTGAACATGGAATTAATTATCGACCCGAAACCGCGTCATTCGAATAATAAACAGTAAGACCATGGGAAAAAAGCCAATAAGTTCGAGCTGACAACTATGACTAGTAAATGCCACAGTTTTACTTACACTTGGGGGCAATTCAGATACAAATTGATTTGGATTTTCCTGAAGCAATTTGACAGCAGAAATACAATCTTCTTTACAACGATCCTGAAAAGTAGGAAATGAAATTGAAATCGACAATGATACAATGGATAAACTATAATTAACCCAAAATAAGAAAACCACAAAATTAAAAACGGAAAAGTATACAAAGAAAAAATCTACCAGAAGATCTATTCATCTTATAAATCAGTAGTATGTCACAGCATAACAAAAGTTTACAAAACACCAATGATTTTAAACTGGATTAAGGTTTTATGCAGTCAGAAACCAAAGATTTAAAAAAAATAATGAGATTATATTTTGGAAAGAACAGTTAAATGATAAACAACTGAACGTGGTAATAACGCTTGATATAGATTGGTTGTTACACTGCAAACCACTGAAAATACAGATGAGACGATATTTTACTGTAAACTATACATGATACTAAAGTTTGCTTTGTTTAATTCGTAAATCTACTTCATTAATAAAGAAGAATCTTTACATATAAAACAAAAATGGTCTGATTAAATGATAAGGACATCAACCAGTTTTTAATAATTAAATAATATACATTGTCATTAGAAATATTTCATTTAAATCGAAATTAGAAAAGGTATAATTAAATCTATACAAAATAATAGAAATAATGAAAAAAATTGAATATAAACTAACTCTTTCCTCAATAAGACAGTTTAAGGTGTGTTGTGCTTTTCTTAAAGAGTTTTTAGTTGATTCCAATTCTTCAGTTAACTGTTGAATTTCAGTAGAAGACTTTTCAATCTAAGAAAATCAATAAACAATAATAATAATATCAATGATAATAATAATAATCTTAAAAATAAATACGTGATTATCAATATATGTAAATTAATTTCAAGCAACTAACGAGAAAAGAAACAAATAAATGTAAACTTATGAAATAGTAAAGATAAAGATAATAAATATTACTACGATTATTATATGATTAGCAGAATACAACAACAATCACAATGACATACAAAGTTGATGATCATGAGAGGGGTGATTCAATGCGGTTAAACAGTTGATTATAACATTTGGTTGTAATGATTTTCATTATTGAACCAAAAAATTATATCAATCGATTAATTCATGGATTATTGTGCATAAATTTCGATCAATTTTCTCAATTATACATCCGAACACCATTTGAATGTGTAATGAAGTGAACTTTACTCAGAATTAGGTGTATAAAACTATACTACCAATAAGATATATTTGTGTATGTTATGACATGTGCTTAAAATTTAATGATTAAAGATTCTACTTCAATGAACAATTAGTATTTTATTATTTCATTTACTGAGATAATTTATACACATAATATATTTTATTATAGTGGATGATTTAAGTTGAATTTTAAGAAAATATAACGAACTAAAATCTATAGTGAATTTTGACGAAAGTACGTTTCGATCAGATAAAGATCGCTGATTATAGTAAACAAATAGTTTACATCATTGATAATAGTCATTATAAGAAAAGTGTTGCTCATTTTATAGATAATATATATCACAGATAGATATCCAAAACATTGTTCAAATTAAATTTTAATCAGTTAGTTACAGTATCAAACTCCAGTACACTAACTTTAGCTTAAGCCCTCAATACAAACAGTGTGGCATGAATTAAGTATAAAAAACTGTGCTTGGTAAATGAATTCATATTTGAATTATTTTCGAGAGCCTAAGGGTAATCATTCATAGAAAAAATATACGTCTACAACATATAGTTGACTCCCGACCGAAGCTGCTACCTTGATGCGGTGGTCGGGCTTGCCTTTCATGATGACCCAACCGAGCTATACTGGCTGGAACATGTGTTCCTGAAGGTTCTACCATGCCAGGCAGGTCGATTGGAGAATGATCAGACTAAAAGCAGCTACCCGAGGTCTGAGGGCGAAGTCGTACTGCTGACTGCAGAGGGGTGTGACAGCAGTAAGGTGTTTCCCTCGGACAACCAGCATCTGCAGCGATGCTGCCTTCTCACAATAGAAGGAAAGGTTAGAAAAGGTCGACTCTAAAAATGTCACACCTCACCCTACCTCACGGATTTCCGTCTCCGTCGGTAAGGGTGCCCACTAAGGGCTTTTAAGAGCGGAGCTAATACTCAAAAAACCCTTCATAAAAAGGCCGTGTGTGACCGGCCTCAAGCAGTTGTCCCCTGCGCTTTGCGGTCACGATCCCAGGTCTCTAAGATCAACACTAATCTGCCTTATTTTTGACGTTCCTCAAGAAACAACCTTCCACGGTGTGGGCAGCCGGGAAGTGACAACCGCCCTCATATCCGTAACAGCACACGAGACCAAATTGCTCAAAATCAAATCCTTCTTACATCCCCTAATATCTCTCTCTTGACTAGTTGCATAAATATAAATAAGCATATCACAACAGTTAGCACATTTATTAATACACTATAATTTTGTGCATACTATTTAAAAAACTGCATATATTCATTACTCAAAATATAACTAATCATTTGTTATTAATCAAGCAAAATTGCATTTTTCATATCGTCTTAATTTTCGAAAACGATTATATGTTCTGATTACTATATGCCCTTAAAAAATAACTAAATAAAAACAACTTAACACTAAGGGAATATTGATTTGTTATAAAAGCTAGGCATGAATATTCTTATCACATAAAGGTAGAACGTAGAAACTCGGTATTTTTACAATAAATCAATTGTTTCTTTTCAAAAGTCATTGAGTTTAAAAAACCTCATGTTCACTGGTAGAATACGATACAATCTTACGATATTTACTACATTCAATGTAAATCAATAAATAACCTTTAATTAATCTACCTACTATAAAACATTCAAATCAAAATTCATAATAATCGTTGATACAGTCCTTTTATTTATCGAGATGATAATATAATGAAAGGTAATTATTAGTTTAAGGACAACTAACTCCTATAATACAAGCTTATTGGTTCAGTAAACACAGTGATATTCAAACAAATTCAATCATCTATAACTCCAACAGTCATCTGATGTAAATACAGATTAGACTGAATGAAGATTAAGTCTGAATATATATATGATCAACTGGATGTGGTAGACTAAGTATTGAAACAGAATACGTATTTACTAATAAATAACTGTTTACATGATCATATTGATAGAAAATGATCATTTATTGTGCACAAATTGTAAACGTTAGTATATATAACATGACATTTAAATCAATACTTGACAGAAGTGTTGAGGATACGTAATAGAAAACCTAATGGATGAATTCACAATAAATGCCTAAAGATTGGAAAAAACCCATTTATTTATACTTACAAAAACAAACAACTTTAAATTTGGTTACTTTTCAATGTCTAATTAGAATTTTTCTTTACAATTGTAGTGAAGGAGAACTCAGGTGAGGGCAACCGAATTGTATTTAACGAAAATTACAGAGTTACTCAGTAAAATAGGAAAACCATATCGTAACCGTTAATTTGCAAATCTTCAATCCATCATCAATTCATTGTCTGACATTTCACTATTCATGCGTTTCATACAAATTCCATTGTGTTCCCACTCTTCCTTTCTTGATCTTCCCCATCTTCTGCTGCCAGACATTACGTTTACACTCGCGTCATATACTACTTATAAGTAGTGCGCACCACACATTCATAATGAGATATTAAAATATTCTTTAGTTAACAACAAGATAATAATCTCTGTTATTATTGTTTAGTGTTTTCTATGCTATTTAATTTGTATTATTCCAGTTAGGATTACTGTTAATAATTGAAATGATTGAATACTAATGTGTATTACAATTTAAACAAGATGAATGAACAATATCAGTAGAAACAATTATATCTGTATGATACGCTTGATTGAATAAATATCAGTTTTCTTTAAAACAAAGGAATTATATTGTTGTAAATAACAAATATCACGCAAAAATTTCAAGACAAATAAAAACCTAGCAACCTTGACTAACTAATATATCAAAAATTCAGTAAGCTTTCATAAGCTTTCAGAGGATACAGTTGGAAAGTTATGAAAACCAAACCCAAATCTATGATACGACTAACAGATAATCACTACCACATTATATAACGATTGTCTGATGGTCCATTTAGTTGAAGTATAAGAGATACAAAAAATTTGAATCATATAAATTAAACTTAACCACTATGATGAAGATGAATTCATTGACTGATTTCGTGCATGAATTTAAGTAATACTTCCTTAAAATAATACTATTTTCAAAATATGGTCTTTTATAATAGCAATAACAATATACGAATTATTGCTTAATTATTATTTATTGTGAATAAAATTTTATGCAATGAAACAACAAAACCAATAAGACAAACTAATTTAAGAATTATAATTGGTATGAATACACCAATAGAAAAAAAAATTCAATAATAACACTAGTGTGCATCAATTTCCATTTATAATTCTGCTTTGAAAAAGTAAACAACTGTCAGTCATTCATTATATTAATAAATCAATATTATATTTCAGATCACGTCAAGTTGGTCGAAGCATATACATCTATCTATTGACTAACTACTATCAAATTGTCACTACAATTCTTTATCTATAAAATTTATTTTAACTGAGTAAATATGAACAGTATCGTTATGCATGCATGTCCGCTTTTTTACAAAAAATGTACAATGCACTATGATACTGAATTATAAAATACTTAAATGGTAACGCTGAAGTTGCCAGTATAGTTTACATTTTATGTATTGTTTGAAGTGAGAAGAGTTTGCAGCAGAGGTGCGTGGTGATAAATGAATGTGAGAAGAGTTAGTCGTGAAAATAAGGGAGATGTTAGAGGGTGTAGGAAGGATTTGATTATGACCTATTTGATCTTGTGTGTTGTTACGGGAACGGATATAGAAATCTCAATTGGCTCTTGCCAACCTGCGTCGCTTATGGCATAGGCGAGATATCCGTTTTCTAAACAAAGGTCGGGTGTAATGCGTATCAGTTCGTTCCGTCCTACTTTATGGCTGTGAAATATCGCCGGTAAGAGTTGAGGATATTCGTAGGCTATTAGTATTTGATCACCGATGTCTCGGAAGCATTGCTCGTGTATCCTAGGACAATCGAGTAAGCAATGCTGTCATAAGAAAACGAGTACTAGGTTTGGGATAGCAAACCAATGGATAAGTATTAAAACTTCATCAGTTGAGATAGTTGGGACATGTGTCACGAATGCCCAACCACCGACTGCCTCGACGAGCAATGTTTCGTGGTGTAGGATTAGGTTGGAAGAAGTCTAGGTGTGGTCAAACCAAACCATGGCACAAATCCATGGTTTGGTCAATGACAAGTGAACTGAGTCATGTTGGTAGATGTAGGCTACCTAGTTGGGTTCCGCGAGACGATAGTAACCGATGGTTAGAGACCTTGAACGACATGGCTCAAAATCGTTTGTAGTTTCGCACGTGCATTCATTCATTGTGTTCTTTGAAATTCCAACCTTCTGAATTCGTCACCAACTCTATTTTTCTCTTTCTAAAGTTACCTCACCGAATTAAACTTTTTGGACGATTTTTTCGAATCGTATTCTCTCCGACTACTGCTAATACTTCTACTATCTCTAGCATTATGTCATTCGAACTGACAATCAGTCTCTTTGTTAGTGCGGTACGGCAACCTGAACATATGTACGTACTTTTGGAGTTCTGCGTTGCAACTGACTGACTGACTGATTGTTTGAAGTAACGAGAAGGAAACATATTGAGATTCATACATGGTGTGTGAAAAAAAAATGATATGAGAAGTTGGATTGTCAGCAAACTTTTAACGAATAAAGATAAATACTGCACACCAATTATTTACTAACAAATTTGAATTTATATGAAAAAGAAATTTAATGTAATATTGTATAATTAGTGCTGAGAATTCCTAATTGTGAAGAATGTAGCATAATAAACAAGGCTATTATTATTATTATAATCAGACTATCAGAAAGAATCTTCAACCAAGAAGTTTCCACACTCTGCAATAGTAAATTTGACAAACAAAAAAAACAAACTTACAATATCTAATAGTTTTTCTTCCAATTCATGATTGAGTTTACTTAATCGTTGATGACTTGACACTAGTCTAAACAAAGAAGTAAACAAATTGAAGCATACATAAAACAATCAAAACAAAAAAAATGTGATTATTTTGACAAATGAAACAGTAAACATTAAAGTAGAAGAGAACACAAAGAATAAAGGTAATATGATAGGATAGCAACAAAAACATTACTTTGATTGAAATTACATTGCAAAATAGTATGGATGTTGATAGTAAAAAAAACAAAGATTATTTGTTTTTCTGCAAAAATCGATATGGTTAAGGATAAGTGCATAAAATACTATTACACAGCGAACAAATACTATATAGCGTATAATAAGAATTTAGGTTTATATCAAATCAGAAATCAAAAGTAACGCAAATCGATGAATACATTAGTATGTTTACTTCGGTGCTTAAATCATGTTGGTGAATATGAAGGATTATGAGGCGGCTTCATCAAACCCCAGTTCCAAATAATAGATTTACATGGACTTTGTATTCCTGAGAAAGTCGACTACAGTATGAAATTAGCATGGCTGCCAGTAATCAAGCGACAGCATCTTTGAGGATGTGTTACTCGTCTGATATTTAAGCGTGAGTGTTGAATATTTGACAAAGGTAACCTACAAAGATAACTGGTTTGATATGGATGCCTAGACACTATGACATTCTTGATACAGTTAAAAAAAATTTTGATATACATTAGGTTTACGTTTAAAAACAAGTGCAACAATTAAATTACGGCCAATAAATATATTTCGGCAAATACTTTTGGTTCTTAAAAACTACTGATGCATTTCAAAGTTTGGCTGTGAACTGTCCAGTCAGTCAGTAAGCCAGAACGTAGAACTTCGTACACGAGTACATATGTTCAGTTACCATTTCGCAGTAGTACAGAGACGCAATTGTTATTTCAAATCCAATAGTAGCAGCGATAGTAGAAGCATTAGCAGTATCGAAGAAATAAGATTCGAAAATATCATTCAAAAAGCCAATTGTCCTAGGATACACGAACAATACTTCCGAGACATCTGTGATCAAACACTAGTAACCTACGAATATCCTCAACTGTTACCGGCCATACTTCACAGGCATGAAGTAGGACGGCACGAACTGATGCGCAGTACACTCGACCTTTGCTTAGCGAACGGATATCTCGCCTATGCCGCCAGTGACGCAAGTTGGTAAGAGCCAATCGAGACTTCTATGTCTAAGCTGAGATTTCGTCAGCCACCAGGCCATCAGCATTGATGAGACTCCCGAGATAAGTGAAGCGGTCGATACGCTCAAATGCTTCACTCCTTATCAGTAGTTCAGGAGCCGGTGCAAACCAATCTTGAAGCAACATTTTGCATTTCGACGGGGAGAATCGCTATGGAACATGCTTTCATTGTTGCTTAGGGTGGTGAAAAGACGGCATCTTATTAGCTTCTTCATCAAGTAGAAAACTATGTCATCGGCACACTCTAAGTTAACAAGAGAGTCTCTTGGTAGAACGTCCACTTCTGAAAAGTCAGAAGAGGATAATGTCAACTCTAAACATATGTCTATGGCGAAGTTAAACAAGAATGGAGTGGACACAGTGGACAACTTTGACGAACACCAGTTGCAGTCAGTCAGTCAGTCAGATGCAACGTAGAACTTTGTACGTAAGTACATCAGTTCATGTTGCCATACCACATCAGTACAGAGAAGTAATCGTCAATTCAAATCCAATAGTAGAAGAGGTAGTAAGGGAATTAGAAGTAATCGGAGAGGTTAGGATTAGAAGATACTATTCATGAAGTATGATTCAGTGAGAAAAGTTTAGAGAGTCGAAACTAGAGGGGTTGGAGAATCCAGAAGATTAGGATTTGAGAGAACACAATGAATAAATGCACCTGCGCCATTGCGAACGATTTTGAGCCATATCATTCAAGGTCTCTAGCCATCGATTATTATCATCTCGCGGACCCCAAACAGGTAGTCGACAATGACCGACATGGCTAAGACCACTAATCAATGACTTCATGGATTTCTGCCATGTTTTGGTTTGGCCGCCCCTAACTTTCTTCCAACCTATTCCTACACTACAAAACAAGGCTCGACGAGGCAGTCGGTGGTTAGGCATACGCAACACATGTCCCAACCACCTCAACTGATGAAGTTTCATTACTTCATCGATTGATCTGCCATTCTTACCTAGCACCCGATTCCTAATAACAGCGTTGCTCACTCGGGTGTCCCACAATATACGAGCAATGCTTCGAAGACATCTATGATCAAAAACCAGTAACCGACGAATATCTTCTACTCTCACTGGCCATGTTTCACAGCCATAAAGTAAGACGGAGCGAACCACTGCGCAGTACACTCGTCCTTTAGTCAGCAAACGGATATCTCGCCTACGCCATAAGTGACGCAGGTTGGCAAAAGCCAATCG